TTAGTAGATGGTGGGTTGTCCAGATACAATCGGTCGCCGGTTTGTTTGCCTTCCCGGCAGTATGGTCATTGAACCGAAGCAGTACTGTAATACCCAAGCCTCATTGGCCGAAAATACATATCCTGGTGGCCATAAGTTGTAGTCACAAGTCCTCGATTTCCCTTTCTACCGCTGTCTGGGCCGGCACTTGGCACGAGCACGGTACAGTTTCTCCCCCTCATCGACAGACACATTTTGGCTGGCTGTCTGAATAGCTCTCCCAGCCCCGAAACTCTTACTTCGACAATGCTCCACTACCCCAAAGCTACGGAAAAGAAATGCTTTTTCACAGTCACACTCGCATTCACAGACATTTTGGGGTGTGGTGTCTCGGAAAGAGGAAGTGCCAGGACATGGAGCTGATATTCACAGTTTTTATGGCTCAAAGGGAAATACAGTTGACCCTGGGCTGTACTCTGCATTGAGATTAAAAGAGAGTAGGAAAAGCAAGCTATATGGGATCTCTATAGGCGCCATCTATGTCAGAGTGGCTGCATTAGCACAACTTATTTGTTGCCTACTTTTTGGCTACAGTATGGCTTTACGTACATTTCCGGTTGGGGACAGCCATTGCTAGTTTACGATCTTTATTAAAAGGAAAATTCCTTATTTTATTAAAGAAATTATTAAAAAAAGTAACAAATTTATAATAATTATACAATTATTTAGAAGAAATAAAAGAAGACTGTATTTCAAAATATGAATTTTAAATTATTTTAAAACTTAAATGTACAGATGTCGGGCTTCTAAGTTAAATTAAACTTAAAATTTGTATGTCTAATTATTTGTTATCCAATTTTTAGTTATTTATTTAATTCAATTAATTAGTTATATAATTAGGTCTACTTTTGCCTCTAGAAAACTACCGGTGTCAACTGTGTTTTTCGCATAAAAAAGTTATAGTTCCTTAAGTTAACATGGGAAAAGATTTTTAATATTTAAAATACAGAACAATTTGTTTAATTTTATATTTTTTAGGATTAAAAAATGCTCAGGCTAACATGTCAGTTTCCTTTCAATAGATATTCCCACTTTTATAGTCATAATACCTTAATAAAATATTTTTAATATAAAAATGAGTTTAAATACAAATTTTGAATTAAGTTGATATTATAATTTAAAAGAATCCAACCTCATATTTAGGTTTAGCTTTCAGAAGCACATATACCTTCTGTTGTATGTAATATAACTTGTTTTTCTTATTATTTGAGATCAAAATATGTTTTCTATATTCACTTCCTTTATCGAATTTCCTGCAATTTGATCAACTTAACCTGGCCAACCTCAATGCGACCCCTTGTGTTTAACCCTCTATAAACAAATTCAGGGAAATTAGCTGACGCGAAATTGGTTTATCAAAGCGAAATCAGATTTATGGTGCTATTTACGGGTGAAACCCGCATAAAAACTCCGAAAACAGCCAGACGCGGAGTTGCAGGACACAAATGCCGACAGGACTTTCAAGAGAGTGAGACAGACACAGAAAGAGAGAGAGAGCGAGAGACCGAGAGAAAGGGAAAGAATGAAAAAAAAGAAAAGCCGAAAAAGCATTTCGTCGTTTTTAGCCGGCACGAACGGATCAATGACCTGCATTTCACAGCCGGAGACACAATTCAATCGATAAAAGTGAAGAGTTGGGGCACCAGCACACAGACACTGCACAAACACACACACACACACACATACAAAGAGCGCAACATGCACACACACACTGACACAGCTAAAGGAAAAAACAACATGGCGAACGTGAAATATGCAAGGAGCTTCCTGCAGGAAAAGCCAAAATGGCAGACAGCATGCGGCGAACGTGACGCAGTGCAGGAAAAGCCAGTGGCGGCGGCATGAGAGGGTAGACTGACGCCGCAGGGATGAAACTTTCTAAAAATTTCTGGAACAACACAAAAGCACAGGCTCGTATATATTTTATTCCATTCAATCAAATCAGGGAGGGGAAAGCACGGGCAGGCTGATTAAAAATTCACCAAGTGGTAGCAACTATGCTTGGCCAAGTTCCCAGACAGAGAGAGAGAGATGGCCACAAAAGGAGTGGGCTTATGTCGCATGCATTGGAGCGTTAAATAAAACGGCAAAAAATAAAACAAATTCACATTACCAGCAACTGGCAACTAGCAACCCCCTCACAAACAAACACTCAAGGCAAGTCTGAGCCATTATCCTTCTCCTCCCTCCTCCCCTCGAGAACCAGAGATCCCCCTCATATAATTTCCCTCAAACTGACCCCAAAGTGTAGACAAAAAGGTAGAATGCACAAAAGTTTTTGTCAACTTCTTTCTTAAGGGGGCTCAACACACAACGCCTCTGTGTGTGTGTCTTTGAGCTGGGCGACTTTTGGGGGTTGTTATTCGGCAAAAAATAAGAAATTAATGATAATTCTTAAGAGATTTTATATTTAAAACCAAAGGAAAATGGTTAGAAAATGGTTAAATATAAATATAGATGGATTTTCAAAGAAACCCCTTAGTTTACCACTATGGTTTTAACTTTACTTTTATGTTTAATATTTATTACTTACCCCATTTATATATTTAAACTGCTAATCCATTTCCGGATTATATCCAAAGAATATGGAAAGAAGTATCACTATACAAATGCTTATTAAATAAAACACTAGAAAGCCAAAGGTAATGTAAAAACAGGCCGAGAAAAGAAACAACATTTTTTTAACAAACAATTTTAGACATTTAGAGAATTAGGAAATTGCAAAATAAGGAAAAGATTTATCAGATGAAATTATTTGTTTACTTTTAGACGTTTTTGTGTTGTGATATATGACAGATACATTTCAAATTGTAAGCCAAAAGGCAAAGCTAAGGTGTTAAGGTATAAAATATTGTATATATTTCACAATAAATATATTTATCGTTTTTATTAACAAATATAAATATATATAAATATAAATAGGTGCTTGTTGATGTAAGCATTTACTTTAGTACGACGATTAAATATTACTGTAAGCGTAAAGCCAACTGTGATAATTATTAATTTGTAATTTACCTCAAAGCCTTTGCGGAGAATTATTATTTTAATCAGAAGCTTGTAATCCAGTGAAGGAGTCATTTCCGACCCTATAAGTCATATATATTCTTGATCAGCATCAACAGCTGAATCGATCTAGATACTTCAGACAGGAAAAAAATATTCTATTTTTTTCCAAAATTTTTTAAGGAGTTAGATCGTTAAAACGATCAAATATTTATAAAAATTAAATTTTTTTAAAAGTTTTAAATTGAGTATGCAGAATTATTAACCTGATAAAAACTAACATGGGAAAGCTTTCCGAATAAAAATTAAACAATTTTTGCCTGAGCTATGCTATTTTTAAAATTTTAATTTGTAGTAAAAATATACAATTATTAAATTCAACATGACACTAAGAACCTTCCTATAATATACCAAAATTATATTATTTAATGTTTTTTGAACATTTCAAAAAGTGAACTAGTCAGAATTGAATTGATATGATAGATAAATGATTTATAGACAATACATTTATAGAGTATACATTTTACATGAATTTAAAGCATTAAACCTAGTGATCCTTTTTCCGTTCTATACAATATATGCTTTTAAGCTACAAATACTAACCTCGACCATGAATTCCCTCCAAAAATTCCTAGAATAAGAAATGCAGAAATTAAACAAGACTGTAATAAACCTTTTTGGTGAAACATTCTCAAAAAGTGAGCAATTTTTGATGGTCTGCTTGCTTCGAATATAAATTTGTCACTTTTTGCATATATTCATCATACGACCCGTGGACCCTGAGCTCTATATAAGTGTTTGTGTGTGGCAAACCAATTAGCCTTACTAACACACTCCCACGCCACATTTTTTGTCGGTTTCCCCTCGTTTTATATGTATTTTTGTTTTTTTTTTTGTTGATTTTGATGTTTCTGCCTCGAGTTGCGCTCGGAAATGAAAACTGCAGCGAAAGTCTGGGAAGCAGGGAAAAAAGCGAAATTTTTTGCAGTCATCCCGAAAAGTGCAGCCCTGCAAAATTGGAGTTATCCTTGCTCTCTCTCTCTCACACACACACTCTCTCTCTCTCTCTCTCTCTCTCTCTCTCTATCTATCTCTCTTTCTCTGAGCAACTCTCCCCCAGGGTCCATCTCTTTTTCTCTCATCATCCATCTCTGTCAGTTGCAGACACAGACAGTTGGAGAATGAGATTTTCCTGGTTCGGTTTTTTGGGGGAGTTTCCCGCGGAGTTTGGGCTTCTACTGTCTGGGCAGTTCCTGCTCCAACTGCTCCCTTCGCAGAGTTGTCATGACAACGAACCAACCGATATTCCAGACTGGGTGTTGCCAAATCCCGGACACTGAAAATACGACCAAAATATCAAAACTTCTCGCTCCCCCCGAAGCGCAATGGGTCAGTGTACAATTATTTTAATAAACGAAAAAAATAGAGATAAAATTGGTAGGTAGAACGGCATGATTTTGGGTAAGAGCTGTGACTGATATTATTGGCATAAAAAACTCTGTATTTAATTAAGAAGTTTACAAAAAAAATAAACTGTTTACATTTTTAAAGTAAAGCCAAAGAGTTTAGGTACATAAAATGTAAATAACAAGTACATATTTTTTTAGCATTATTAAAAGAGTACCAAAAAGCAAGAGAAATTGTATTGAAGTTTAATAATTTAAAATGTATAAATTACAAAAACATTTATAAATTGTAAAGGCCTTTAATAATGCAATTTAATACAAATTAATTAACAAATTTATGAATGATGATCTTCATAAAAAACATAATCTCTCTGATTTTTATTAAACTTTCAAATTTGTTAAGATTTGACTTCTTTCTCATATTTGGTTTTCTTTTTCTATCTATGTCATGTTCTTACAATAACTTTTATAATAATATACACATATATTTTATAAAAACTACCATTTATCTTCCCAAAATAATCAAAATTTAATTAAGAAAAAATACTCAGTTACATTTCTCATAAATAAATACAATGTAGGTCGATTTTTATTGCTTTTGTTGGTTAAGATCAGCTGGTGGCATTATTCCGAAATATCCATTACCCATATAGATTTGTGGACTTTCGGGTCCAGTGCCATCAGGATTGGTCTTCCAGGTGATCGTAAGACAGGGTTCATTTGCATTGGGATGCTTTGGTATTGTAATTTGATAATTTGGGGCATCCTCCGGTCTGATATTATTTTTTATAAAGAAAACAGATTGAGGAGCTACCGGAGGTTGTTGACGCTGCTGAGTTGTATCCACTGAAAATATTCACGAGGTTTGAATTAATAAATATTATTTAAAAAGATTTTTGAACTAAAATATAAAGGGATATATTAAAAGAACAATTTAAGAAAAGATTATAGTTGGAAAATTAAATGATTACCTTGTTTTTTATATTATTTTGAAGATATATATACATAAATGTTAATCAAAGCTCTTTCCGGGCATTAATTAAGCCCCAAAACCCATTGTTTTTAACTCCATATAATGGCAAAATTTTAAATCAGAAATAAATGATTAAAAAATATTTATAATGCCTTAATTGTAGGTGACACAAAAGTCGGAAATGTAGGTTAAAATCTATTGAACTTACATGGCTGGCTCCACGCGCAGGCAATCAGCAGCGGAAAGAAAGCCAGAAACTTGTGCAACGCCTCTGATTTCATATTTATTTATATATGTAGCCTATATGTGGAAATATAAACAAATACTGTTGTTGTCTGGCTTCCTATACTAGATGCAATCACTCGGTATTATCGCACAGACGTCTTTACTCCCAGAGTTCTCGGCTTAGACTGAGCCGGGGAACTTTGGGGACTGATCGTGGGGCTCTCTTTGAGGCACTATCTTACCTGGTATTCTCCGGGTTTTACTTATCAACTTTCCTGAATGAATTCCAGAGTGAATTTGTAAACAAAGCACAGCTCAAGCAGCATCGATTGGAGATTATGAATCGCAACAACTGATAACAGAGATCGTGTGCCTCTGAAATCAAATGAAAAGTCTGTCTCTCTGCAATGGGTTTATATACTAATTTACATATACAAATGTGGGGTCATCGATTGCTAAGAACATTAATCCCAATCTGCAAATGTGAGAGGGAAATCTTTCCAGAAAATAAATAATTTTAAAATAAGTACCATATAAACAATCAACATATACATTTTTTAAAAATTTGATCAAAATATTTTTCCCCTTAAATCATGGCTAAATTGATTCGGTTGTTTATGCTGATCAATAATATATATGTTTTATAGGGTTGGAAATGATTTATAACTATTTTATGATATCAAGAAGACCTGAAATATTTGCATTTTTTACATAAAATAATAATGTATTAATATATTTTTTATTTAACAATTTTCTAGATAAACTAAAGCTTTAAAAAACCATAACTAAGTCAAAAATGCATTAATTTAAAATTGGATAGCATTTTTGTCTTAGTTTTAATTCAGTTAATAAATTTGCAAACCAAGTTAAAACTTTTAGAAAATGTAAATTTTTGTCAATTTTTTGTTTAATATTTAACGATGTAATCCCTCTAAAAATGTTGAAAAAATTTATCACTTATTTTTCCTTAAATCATGGCTTGATAAATTCGCCTGTTCATGCTGATCAAGAATATATATAATTTATAGGGTGGGAAATGATTCCTTCTCTGTTTTCTGAGCTTCTGACTATAGTTATACCTTGAAAAACCAAGAGTGTTTTGGCCAGTGTATTTCTCATAGCTTGGACGCACACCACAGCTTGGAAGCAAACCCATAAAAGTAATCTAAGACACAATCACACTGTGGAACCCAATTCTAGCTGGTGGCTGTCTTGGCTAACTGCTGTAGTGGAACCCATTCCCAGTTCCGGATAAAAATTAAATTAAATTATAAAAAAAGGAATTTTGTTCAATAAATCAAAATATTTCAGATACAAGCAGCCTCAGTCTGTCCACACTTTGTTTCTGCAAAACACAGTTGTTTATTATTATTATTTAAATATTTTGAAATTAAAAATTTCCCCCACACCAAAATAAAATATAGAGTTTCTGTTTAAATTCTCAAATAATTTGAATTTTTCCTTTTATTTAGTAATACTCTTAGCCTACAGGGAAACGTGTATGAGACACGCTTTTTTTCAATTAGATTACAAAAAACTAAACAAACAAGCTTAGCAATTAAACTAAGTGTCCTTCAATAGTGAAATCTTAGCGCAACAATTAATTATTATTCTCTGATTTATCAATCGAAAGTTTTGGCTAACAATAACATACAATTATCGAATCTATTTGATGCGCCGTCAAGTCGCATTCACTTAAACTTAATTATAAATAACAATTTGTGTCATTCGATTTTTTATGTATTTTACAAATGTCGCTTTTAATGCTTAAGTATAATTATTTAATGTATTTTGTTAAATAAGAATATATTGCAAATCATGTATATTAATTAGAGTTAGGTTTAGGGTATTCCAATTTGATACGTTTGTTTCTTATTTCGCGGACAGTGTGCTGAGAGGGGGGGACTGGGCGTGGTCATAAGGGCACTTTGGGGGGAGTTGGTTGTACACTTGAAGAAAACCGAATTAAATACTCTTGCCTTGCCCGTGGACGGAAACCGTTGCTTATAGAAATACAAAAAATAATCGAAAAATGCATCCTTCTTGGAAGACAAATGAGAATGAATTTTCAATTTGCTGAGTTTTGTGTTTAATTAGTTAATTAATTAAACCATTAATTAATTTGAGAAACTTATGAATTGAGGTTCATCCTCTTCGTGTGGTTTTGTGTCTTTCTTCTTTTTTTTTGCTACTGTACACAGTCTTTGTATATGATTTTTTTGTTGTTTGTTATTTTTTATCGTTTGCTGGCTGCTTATTTTATTTTTTAAATTATTTGAAACCATATTGATCCCCTTACACCTCGGTGCTGTGAGTCTGAATTCGAACCTTTTTCACACTGCCATTGCGACGCATTGGAGGGGGTGAACTTCCGGATCCGGAATAGCCTGGATTTTGAATGCCCAGCGTAGGATCCGGCCTTGGTCTGGGTTTCTTAAGGCTCGATCTCAAGGGTGAACGGGTCACCGAATCGAGTGTAGAGCCATTGGACACACTGGTCACCGTTGTGCTCATGGAGGCCACACTTCCCGCAGTTCCGGCACCATTTCGAATGCCACTGTACGGTTTCCCCGAGGCATCCGTCACCGAAACACCATTGCGACTGCGTGGCTCCTTAAAACCAGGATTATTAAATGTGGTGGCACTACCCGGAGATGCAGCATCCAGTGCCATGGTTGGATCTCCGCCAGGACTGCGTGAATAGATCACATCGTACAGGGCGGCCACAAACAGGGCAACAGTCAAAACAATTGCCACAATCTGGAAAATGGGAAATTAATTCATTTTTTAAAGGTATTTAATTACTAAACTTGCTTCAACTCACTCACCTGTATGTAAAAGGAAATGCCCCGTGATATCTTGAAGCCAAAGCGTTCTTGCTCATCAATTTGCAGAGCAAACAATACCGTGGCTATGATGGCCAGTACACCTGTAAGGGAAAATTCAATTAAATTACATGACTTATCAGTTGCTGTCACCTGTCTTCCTTCACTCACCTCCCAGGAGTGCCAGCATTAACTTCACTATCACTAGAGTTGTATAGGGCATCACCACCTTCTCCCTGGATGAGATCATCGCATGTTGAATGACCGACAAAATGCAAAAGATGCCCAGCACAGCTGAGCTGCCAATGGCCAAGAGACCACTGACAAAAACTGCATCTAAAAAGGGTTAGAAAAGAATACATTAGTATTTAGTGAAAGTATAGCAATGAATATTAATAATTAAAAGAGAGGTTGAAGGGGTTTGAAAGTGTTTAAATGTGTTTAAAAAGAATTGAAATGTATATTTAACTTATTAGTTTTCTTTTTCATATGTTGCTTATAAATACACAAACATTTCCTTTTTAAACCTTATAAAACTACAAATTAGTATGCATTAATTTCTATAAATTGAATTATTTAATTACTTACTGCTTAGCCTAAACTTGGATACATCATTGCCGCATTTCTCTCGATTATATGTCAATTGTTTGCAGACCTTAAACGGTCCGAAATAGCCTCGATCGAAGTCATAGCCGCCTGTTTAAGAAAAAATTCCAAATTAGTTTAATCAAATTTATAAAAAAAAATATATATATAAAGTACAGTGAGCACTCACCCGATCGACTATCGTAGTAGCCCCAAATGGGTATGCCAATGGCCACAGATGCCAAGGCGAAGCAAACGAAGCCAAGACAGGTCACCCCAGCAGCATAAAGTGTCGACTTTGCCATGTTTTACTGTACAGCATAACGAAAGTAATGCAATTAAGGTCCAAAGAACTAAAAAGAATTATAAAAAATGCATATTAAATTATGGAAATATAAATCTGCTTAACTCTACCCTCCATCCCATTGACTTTGAGCTACTTTTTAGTCAAAGCTTAGGCCGAAAATCTTCTTACTTGCCACAGAGAATACGAGGCACAAACCCACCCACCCACATGACATACACTCGTAACCCGTAAGCCACCTTCTATCCATCCGAGAGCACTTTGTCATGCTCACATCGAGCCGTGTTCTCATCACGAACAATTAGATCCCATTCATACATAAAGAGCTACTTGCCGACGACCTTGAGATTGCATACAAAAAACAAAAAAAAAAGACAAGAAAAATAAATGCTTACGCAGGGGAATTTTCATGTGTGTGTGGGTCTCAATTCAGTTTTTTCTCTAAGCGGATTTCTGTCATAAACCGATTTCCTCTTACATGTAATTAAATAGCAATTTATAAGCAAGTATTTCAAGAGTATATTGATACCCTAAGACAAGTTAAAACCAAGAAATGTCAGTTATTTTTAACAGATCTCCGCTAATTGATGAGCTATTTAAGAAACTGGTGCCAAAAAATAGCATTTAGAAGGTAAGTAAGCGAAACAGGGCGTATGCGTAATATTTGAGATTGTGTGGGAACAAAAGTGAACAAAAAGTAAATGTTAACTATGGGTTATGCATATAATGTGATATATAGCAAGGGGTTATTATAATTTAAAGCTAATTTGTTGAATAATTATTAATTATCATACAGGAAAGAACTTAGATATAATGATACAAGTAAAACTTAGTGGAAGGTTAGGGTTTATTCTATTAAAGTACTTTTCAAGATTTAAAATTACTTTCTAGTTTACATTTCAGTATATATAAGATATCTAAACTGTTTTATTTAATTTTCAGACTTTATTTCCAAAAATTACAACACTTTTAAAGAACTTTTTTATGTTATTTTTCATTCATATTTCAATAAACCTCTAAGTTTAAGCTCTTAAAGCATCATTATTCCTCCAGAACTTGCCTCAAAGTATGTTGAAGAGTATAGAATACCTTTCCTTCGTCTTATTTTCATTCTCTTACCGCCTTGAAGCTAATAAACTCAACAACCTTCTCAATAAGCCACTCAAATAAACCCACCCATTCGCCCATCCGTCTTCGGGTAATGACACAAATGGTATCACATGCAAGTAAGTTGAGTGCCTCCAATGATGATAGATCTTGGGCTCAGCCTGAAACCAGAAACCAAGAGACACTATATGTATATACACTCTACTCTAGTCAAGAAATCAGAAATGAAACCGAGACATGGTTGCCTCACATCTCTGCAAAACAAACTGAATTGGAGTGGAGAGTCGTCCGATTCTGATGATGTCTGGGTTGCTCTTAGCGGTAAATAGAGAGGCGGCGGAGTCGCAATGTGTGCCGTCTGGCTTAAATTACCTCAGCGAATGCTGATGGTTCTGCTTCTTGGCTCGAAAAGTTGGCCAAAATGAAGGCCCGACTGGGCTCTGGCACTGAATCGAAAGCAACTTAGTGAAAAGATTTTGAGAAGCCATTTCAAGAGAGAAACAGTCTTCAAAAAGAAGAATCAATTATCATTTAAGTAATTGATTTTTTAGAGGTATAAGATAATGTATTAAATCCTTAGAGAAAGTTTAAGCTAAAGTTTTGTGACTCATTTCTATGCTTTTATAGGTATTTAACTTAACTTTAACATTAATTAATTTTAAACTGCTTTAAATAGAACTCTTTATAATGCTTCTTCTATACCATTTCTTTTGCCATCCTAGAACCCCTTTCTGTTCTTTTTATATCTTTTCTTACCAATTCATTCTGCAACTTTGTTGTGCGGCTAACAAATGGCAGCTAACCTCTAAGCCAAAGCCAAATCAAAAGCCAAAGCCAGGCCAAGTCAAAGTCAATGGAATGAACTTTTCTCAATTGTGTCACGATTTTCAACTTGCATAAATTTTCCTCCCCTTCCCCTCCATTTTCCCCCTCTCACTCACACTCACTTGAGACCCGTCGCGTGGCTTCTTTCTCTGATCGTGTGTAGGTGGTCAAAAAGGTGGAAAGAAGGCCCAAAGAGGCGGTTTCAGTTTTGGTATTTGGATTGGAGACGGAGTCTGAGAGAGTGAGTTTATACAGCTTTGGGCCATTTTGATTGCCCGGCTAAGAGCGTGATTCAGAGGTGATGTGCATATGTTTATATGATTTACACATCGTGCGTTGGTGTCGAGGTAGAAATAAATATAAACAGTCGGAATTCTTTAAAGGGAAAAAGAAATTTAAAACTTAATTCGATTAGGTAAATGAGTTATTTGAGCCGTAAAGAATTTCAGGCTGGGGAAATTCAAAGATAATATAAACTGTAAGCAGGAGAAGAAGGTAGGTTTCTTTATGAATTTGTACAAAAATAAAGCAGACATTATTTAAATATAAAATATATCTTTATATCTGCTTGATTTTTGACTAAATTATTAACTTCACATTACAAGCAATAAATTATTTATGTATATAATAAATGTGTGTGTTTTTAGATTGAAATTTACTTGATAAAACTTACAGTACAGCTTTATTTTGGGATCATAATTGGAATCAATGTTTGTGATTTAAATATATAAAAAAAAATAGTTATTAAAATTAAATTAAATATTTTCATTTATTAAACAAACAAGCTCTACTGTAAAGACCTTGGCTTATTGACTGTCCAATATGACTGGTCAAGCCACCTAACCACCAAGTGTAATTGTCAGCGGGCCGTCCGAGCCAAGTTAACCACACATTGGCATTGCCACATCATGAGACCGACACTTTGTGTGGGTTTTTCAGGTCTCTTAAAAAGTCTAAAATATATGGTATGTCTGGGTCTAACTATCGGTCTTTCAACCCAAAAGATACAGCCATGAATTAAATATGCATTGAAAATATGAGATACTTGATCTATGCTTATTATATTCTTACAGAGTATTCTCATTTCAGTCAGTAACGCAGTGAAGGAGAAATGGTTTACTCTATAAAGTATATATATTCTTGATCAGCATCATCAGTCCGTCTGTCAGTCCGTCTGCCTGTTTCTACCCAAACTAGTCTCTCAATATTAAAGCTATCTGAATGAAACTTTGCAGTTAGTATTCTCTTACTAGTATAAAAATCGGAAAAGTACGGATCGAACGACTATATCATATAGCTGCCATCGAAACGGTCATTAAATGTTGAGGAGAACGCTCCCTCTCTCCTTCTCTCCCACTCCCACTTGCCTACGCTCTCTCCCTCTAGCTCTATCTGCATCTCCCTAGACATACCTTCTCCTCTCTCTCTCTCTGCCTCTCTCTCTAGAGATACCTCTTTCTCTCTCATTCACACTTTCTCTGTTCTCTTCACTTGGAGAGTATAAATACAGGCGCTGCCTTCGCGCTGGCCTCATTCTGTTCGCGGCCTCCGAAGTGTTAACATCTCTGGTGATAGTGATTGCTCTTCGACCCGAAAAAATATCACCCGACCTATGCAATGCAATGAATCGATATTTATCAATATTTTTATCTGACAATTAAAATTTTAAAAACTCATAACTTTGCCAAAAATGCATTAATTTTAATTTGGAAAGCGTTGCTATGTCAGTTTTCATTGGAATAATAAATCTGCATACTCAATTGAAAACCTAAAATTTTTTTCAATTTTGGACAATTTTGACGATGTAACCCCTTATAAAATTTTGAAAAAATTGGTAAAATTTTTATTTCTCCAGAAGATGGATAGATCGACTCAGCTGTTGATGCTGATCAAGAATATATATGATTTATAGGGTCGGAAATGACTTTTTCATATCGTTACAAGCTTCTAACTTAAATTATAAGACCCTGTAAGGGTAAAATAGCTCCTTAAGTCAGTTTCAATCCGACTTAAACTCTCAACTCAAGTCGCATTTCCATTTACATCTAAAAAAAGCCAAATCAATTAACTTTGGGAACGAAAGCCAGCTAAATAAAGCAATTTAACAAAGATCACAGCGGAAAGGAAAGGCCAACAACCTTTTGAGGTTTTTTCCAAGTCCGACGACGACGACGACGACCCATCCATTCCAGACCCATTTGCCTCTTACTCACTTAATCAGGGAAATGTGCAAAAATTTTCCGCCGCCGCCAACCCAAATAAAAGGGAACTTTGACTAATGAAAAGTCGCTTTTCCGCGGAAAATTGGGTCACCAGTGGGACCCAGCAGGAGGAGGAATCCAGACCCAAAGCAGACAGGAAATTTACTTCAATTTGTCGGGCAGCTTGGCTAGGCTCGCACGCCTGCAAATCAAATGGAAAAACGTGTCGCGGGCTGGCTCTCTAATGGTTTTGCCTCTCACCTTTCCACCCTCCGCCACACTTTTCCCCACCTGTATTGTCCACCTTTATAGTATTTTTTTTTGCTATTGATTTTCAATGGAATCGTGGTTGGACGACTTATGGTTAGATTTTATTATGGTGGAATGTAAAGGGTATACTTTGTTTATAAATTAAATTTAATATAAAACAATAATAAGAAAAGAAACTTGGAAAATTTAATGGATAATATACTTAAGAATACATTAAATATGTAGGCCCTATTTTAGCTCTTTACATAAATATTAATAATGAATATAAACAGATTTTTACCATAAGATTTATATTGAATAAAAAGAATAATTAAAGATTCATATACTAAAATGTCTTCAAATCCAATATATTTCCTAGAAAACTATATATTTTTGAAGCTGATCTTTTCAGAATTTTAGTTAAATTTGTTTTTAAATAGAACAAAATTATGATAATTTAAATATTTTAAAGTATACCCCAATGTATATATATTTGTACATTCTAACTCGTATCTAGTTGGCAACGCGAATTGAGAGTTTTCCATGGCGCATTTTCCTCGTTTTTTTTTTTGTTTATGTTTGGCAGCACTTGTTGCCATGGCAAAGTGCAAAACAGGCCACAACAGCTGCGGGAAAAGAAAAGTTTTGTGCCGTTTCTGACTTGGCT